GTACAGTAACCCTATTCTTCTGCCTTTACAAACCTCTTCTAAATATGCCATTTTACAGTTTTGTACTTAGTTATCAAGACTTTGATTTGAAGGCTGAAGGTGACCTTGTTGTGATAGAGACCAGTGTCTAGTTACGTATGATGCACAATCCTCGCAGTAGAGAGCGCTATTTATGCATCATACATTTTGATAACCACAGTTCAAAATATATCAACTTTCATATATTCATTGTAAGTGTCTAGTTACATGATAACAAAGTGATCTACATTGAAAAGCAGCAACATCTGGATCATAACAGGGTCACCCCATAGCCTCACTCCTGTTCAAAGGCTTGGCAACCAAGCAGGCAACTATAAAATGGACTATTGGTGTAACTTAAAGAATTCAAGTAGTGTGAGAGGGAGGGGATAACAAAAGTAAAGTTTGTACTTGAGCTAAGTGGCTAACTTAGCTAGAGCTTAACCAGCTTCCATAGCATGAAATGATTAGGCATATTAAATCCCCCCCTGGATGGGATGCCAGTCCAACTTTAAGTTACCCCCCCCCCCAGGGTGGGGGGGTAAACACCTGGGTGAAGAGAGGCACTGTGAGTCCTTGGTTGCCAAGCCTTTGAATGGGAGTGAGGCTGAGGGTGACCTTGTTATGATACAAACCTTGCTGCCTTTCAAATGTAAAACACTTTGTTATCATGCTAAGTAGATACAGGTCTCTATCACAACAAGGTCATCTTTAGCCTCACTCTGAATCAAAGGCTTGGCAACTAAGTACACAACTGTAAAATGGCCTATTGCCTGTGAAAGCAACTGAACTGAAAGTAACACTCCAGGTGTGCCGAGTCCTCTAAACGACGAACGATGCGAGGATTGCAGTAACATTCTTCTTCCAAGACATTGCAAAATTGCAAATAGAACTAAAATCATGCTGCTTATGCTAATTTACAAAAAGTGTGAAAGTTACGCTCGTTTTTCCAAATGATGCCAGAATTTATGCAAACACAATCTATAGGGGTCTAGTCACTAATAACGACATCAGTCTTTCTCATGACTCTCTAGATCAGGACGATCAGTTCGCGCAAAAATCTAGTGTTCTTTGTAAGTAAAAACATCTACTGCAGCCGGACAGTAAATAAAAGGCACACCCCTTTCAAATCGCGAATTTCCGTGAATTTCGAGAAGCCCTTCTTTTCCGGTTTAATCTTCACTCCCAAGGCTCTTTTCCCCTCAGAGAGGGAACAGCCTTTACCCGCTCGTCTTCTATAAAAGGAAAAACGCCCTAGGAACGATGTTGTTGTTGCGCAACTTAATTGATCCGTATATCCTGGTGAACAATATGATAAAGATTTGCTCTCAATATCGATCACATTAAAAGAAAAAATAGAAATCTCAAAGTAACAAGACTTAGCTCCCTTAAATTCAAGACTACCATGAAGTAGAGGTTCCATATGTTAAACATGATACGAGAACTCGAAAAAAATCTCTCCCCAGGCGTAAGTCTTCATAATTCTCTCTCACCACACCCTTCCCAATGTTTTTCAAAAGCGTACGGGGACACAAAAGGGAGTTCTGGAAAGTAAGGAGCGAAGGAGGGGGGGGGGGAGGGTTACGAGAACACCGTGAGTACTGATTCAGTTCCCAGTCCCTTTCCGTCTTTCTTGAAGGAACTTATCTGGGTGGTCACACTCGGATAACAGCAAAAGCCATCTCTCCAAATTTCCTTTTTGACCTAATAGCCTACGAAGTCCCAAAACGATCTTGTGTAGAGTCTGAAAGTATATATAGTTCCGTGTTTCAATTCAAAGTTTCCTCTATTCTACAGAAGAAAAGCAACAGATTGCCATTCATCCCTACCGGTAAAAAGCGCAATAACAAACTTGAGGTTTCACGCCTGAAGAGAAGAGCACGCCAAGCTCTTTGTACTGTAATTCAAAGGAACAGCAGGTCAACTCTATTTTTGACTCATGATCAATCTAAATCGTTTCCTTTTGCTCCATACCCTGTATCTGAGTATGTCGTCTAGGTACGCAACGTATACAGGCTATTTAGTCGAGAGAGAGCGTATAGCAATTGTGCGCAGAGCTTGAAATTTCTTTGGGACTACTGACAAAAGTGTGTCCAACACAGTTTTAAATGACATCGTTTTAGTGGACACAAAGAAAAAGCGTCTCTTTAGAAAAACAATCGCCCCCGTGTAGGGATATTAAAGACCAATCTAATCGACTGTGCATATGATAATCTGCAAGAACGTATTTACTCAGCGCTTGATGCAAGATAGTGTGCGTAGTAAAAAGGTAAAAAGTATCTGTTTAAATCATTAAGTGTTCTAAAGGCGGCTGTCTTACGACAGTTACCCTGATTACGATGTGTCACTTTTTTTTAACAATGACCTTGCATAAAAGATAAAAACAACAAAGAAAGTTAATAGTGCTTATATAAAAGGAGGGTCAAAAGATACATCGATCTTTTGTGTTGGGTCTGAAGCAAAACACTCCCTTGAAAAGTGCGAAATCATCCGCACGAAAACAGCTGTAAACGTCTGTTTCCTTTAGAAGTCAGAAAGAAGGCAAAAAAACAATCAACAGGAAATTTATTGGCATTCTGAATCCTCAACTTCTGTATCATAAAAGTATCACAATGTCTCAATTTAACATTTTAGTTTTCATCCTTCATAATCAAATCGAATGAAATAAAGGATCTTGAGTGCGCTAGCTAAGTTTAAAATAAATTGCTATCAGAATACAAAAACAATTTGAGTACTTACAGTGAGACAGAAACAGTATACAGGATATTGCCCCAACGAAGGTTTTGTCAGGGAAATTCGATTGAGCTAGTCGCAGAAGTTCAAATTAAATGACATCCACTGGCAGTTGCACAATGTCTGTTTCTAAGCAGTGGCCGATTAAGGGTCGCCCATAACCAAAGTGATGAGTTCTTTGTAGGGAACGACCTCCTTCTTCGTGTCTTCGAGCGGCTTAACGAGTACCTCCATCTCATCCTCTGTCAGTCTGGAATCACCCTTCAAGCAGAGGAAAGCTCGAAGCTGCAATGAATCAATTAAACCACTTTTTTCACGATCAAAAATGCTAAAGAACTCCAGGAAGTCTTCCTTGGCTGGCTGGGGTTTAGCTTTCATTTCTTTGTAAATGGCGCAGAATTCTGCAAACTGGATGGAATCCTTGTCCTTGTAGTCGGCCTCCAGCTTTTCCAAGTCAGCACCTTGTGGATTCAAGCCGGCCGAGCGAAGGACATCTTTAATCTGCGCGATTTCAATTTTTCCCTCTCCGGTGCGGTCGAAAAGGATGAATATTTCTTCAAGTTCCTCTTCAGCCATAGCGCACACTTTAAAGAATTCGGATAATAATTATCAGTGGTTGCGTTCCGTTGCAAACTGGCAACCTCGCACTCTAGCTTGATGCCAAATGTAAAATGCTGCCCGCCGCGAAGAGGGTTTACTTAAAACCTGCAACTGTTGATTCGTGACCGCCCTCTGTGGCAAAATTGCTGACTACCCAATCAAAACACTCGTCAGTTTCGCTTTGTGAGCTTAATCTCATTTAATAATTTTGTTCATAATGTTTCCCTGTACGTTTGATCGATAGCCTGGTTATCGAGCTTTCTATGTTTCGGGGAACCTCAAAGGTTTCCAAAACGTGCAATCACGGATTAATTATTTGCGACAACATTTGTGAAAATGAACTCAGCATGAAATGGGCAATTAATTGACAATTTACACTGTCTTTTACTTAAAGTTCACGTGTTTCTTGTTGTTAAGCATGTGAGGTCATATTATAATCAGTCGAACACAACCCCATAGTGTTTTTTCTTCGGTTTAACTTTGCGGGACAAAACAAAAACAAGCTTGAAAAACTGCTCTGGGAATTGTGCTAGCGAGATCATTTTAACCACCAAATTTACAACTACGTGTCACTTACCAGTGTTGCAATTCTAAAAGGGTTCGGAAGTTTGAAATTGAATGTTTTCCTTCTTGTGTAGAGAAAACACCTGAATGAACTTGTTGGTGCATGGAATGTGGAAATCAAGACAATTATCGGCTGCGTGTTTTTTTTTTTTCGGACGAGCCTTCTGGTTCGATGAAGATTAAAGAAGAACTGTTTTCGCTGTGGTTTTCAATCAGCAATGAATTATTTAGTCTTTGTCCACAAATTGATTCGTGAACCATTTAAACCTTCTTCCATAAAATATATTTCAATTCGCTCGGCGAGTGACAAATATGCCATAAACAGGTTGTTATCGTACGAATCATTGTTTCAATACAATAGCTTGATTTCGTATCAAACTTGTCAATTCAATCTATGTACAGGTAAATCATGTTAAAATGGCTCTTCTTTTGTTTTGCGGACATACGAAACTCACTGAATATTCAGTCCAGTTCAGTTAAGGCTATGCAAAATTGAAGTTTGTACCGAGAATTGAAGAAAGATTCAAACATTTATGATCACGCCTTAAAATCTAGTTCAATCATCTTTAGTTTTAGTAGCATTACGGTTCCCGTGAGCGGATGACAACAACCCCGGCATTTCGGTATGTCTCCTGAAAATTTTCATTGCTTTCGAGAGACCCAACTGAAGATTTTGAAAAACGTAGTCAACACACCAAGTATGTGGAACAAGTCTAAGGATTCAGTCCGAGAATCCTTAGGCATGAAATCGCCGGAACACTCACTAAAATAATCAGCCTTTGCCACACATTTTTTGAAACATTAATCTATATTACATTATCAGTTGTGGCAAAACAGGATCTCTTTAAACGAAGATCGCCAAGTTATTGTATAAACTGCATTTATGTATATAAAAAAAAATTAACTGTCTATGAACGATGGCTTTGCATTTTGATGGATTTTTTTTTTCAATTGAGTATCGTCCAACCAAAACCATGGTAATCTCAACAGTCCATAAAAAGAAAGGAAAGGAACAAGACGAACCGATGAGAGCTCGAAGTATACACAAGCAAACTGTCTGAAGCGCGGGAAAACGCCTGTGCACAAGTTGTGATTGGTTTTAGCTTTGAATCTGATTGGTTTAGGAAATAGCGCGAGTTTTCTGAACCAATCATAGCGAATTAATGCAAAAACTAAAGCAATTCCGGATTATTTTCGGAATTCACTTAGTGCAACAACTACAGCATCAATCACGGCTTTTCCATCTGCACCTTTTCTTTGCCGTAACATTATTTTGTCATTGGACATTTAAATTTAACTCAGTGTATAGCCTTTTAATTTATTAAAGGTTATAGCCATTGTTTGTTCTCTACTTTTGATAGAGTAATAAAATCGTCGCAAAATTTTGCGCACGCAATGAATTGATCAATCAAAATCGCATTTCAACTGTTCAGAACTCGTAGGGAAGGGGGGGTGTGGGGGTTTTTCTCTCTCAAGGTTTCCCAGATCCCTCCTTGTTTTTCAGCTTGTTCTTCTCACTATGTAAAGAGCATGAATTGACATGGGTGGAGGATGGTGGATGAAGTTCTGGACTCCAATTCAGCCACTTACACACGAGAAAATAAAATGAGTTGAAATTATACGCTTCTTTTACTTCAAGTCTTCAACGAAACAAAATATTGTAGGAGGAAAAATTTTTACATTAATTTCTTCCTCTTTCGTGCTCAGTTCGTTTAACCAAAATATTAAAATTTGTTTCTGAAATCAAACGTTGTGAACACTTAGACCAAAATGTCTTAAAAACAGATTAATTTGCCACGCGTGGGTAGTTAATTTGCCACGCGTGGGTAGCGCATTGAGATTCTTAAATGCGTATTAAGAACGTTCATTATTATTATTATTATTATTATTAATCGTTAGCACCAACACGCAGCGTTGTTTCAGACTTCCGTTTCTCTAAAGTACACCAGGAGAAGAGACCAAAATCAATTTCGATTGTTCCACAATTGAACAGGATTACACAATAAATTTTACACAATGAATCGATGCATACGTTTTAAGAGGTGCAACTTCAATCTTTGTTATGTATCTCGGCTGCCAAACAGTGATCAAACCACAACTAAGTTTAACATAACAAAAAAGGCTACAGGATACGGCTGATGCAATAACATGACAGATTTTCTCGAACAAACACTTTCAAACAGAAGAAATGATTGGCTCACGCTAAGAGCGTCAAAGTTTTAGATTACTTTACCATAAAGCTGTCCTTTAAAATTCGCACATACATTTCGCTTATTTTTTTAAAATACGGCTAGTTTCTTATAAGTAGATTCCGAGCCAAAAATATATTGTTTCCTTTAATTGTGCCTAAGCTATCCTCATCAAAGGATAAGGACTCACAAAGTAATATCTTTTGTTGATAAACGATTAAAACAATGGCGAGTTTACGAAACCGATTGTGATTGGCTAATTTTTCCCGGTGTTTCATCATTCAGCTGTTTACATACCACGCTCTGAACACATGCAAACGGCCGGCTTTACGCTGAAATACCGCCAAACCGGTTGCTTTACGATTTTATTTCTCGAAAGAGAGACTCGTTTCTCAGTCGAAAAGTCGCTGGGACATTCTAAATCTTAATTTTCATCTGTTCTCTCGGAAACGTCTCGCACAAGTAAGGCTAAAAAATTTATTCCTAGCACGAGTATTAATAATAGTCAAGAGCATTCTGGTTTCGTCTGAGGATAGTAATATAAACATTGAACGATTTCGATCGGAATTATTTTGTTACGATCTGTTGGTAGATTTTTCTGAAGCTAAAGATGACCGAGAAAAATCCGTCAGCTGATAACAGTGCCACTTACAAGGCAGTTTCAACAACAGCAATTTTAGCATCCGATGAAGACGATCACCAAACAACAGTTGAAGTGATCGAGACCGAGAAAGTACGACTCGGATGGGACAATAAAGTTCAATTTCTTCTCTCTGCGATCGGGTTTGCGGTTGGTTTGGGAAACGTTTGGAGGTTTCCATGGCTTTGCCAGAAGAATGGTGGAGGTATATAATTTTATTTCATTTTCCTTATCGCTTTTCTTGAATACTAAAACAATGATTTTGAAGTTGAATGCACATGCAACTAGAAAAAATCGATTTCCTCTCCTCTTAATTGCCATATATCAGTATTTGGATGTGAAGCGCCGTGAAATAAATCAGTCCACAACATAAGAGCGAACTTAAAAAAAAATAAAAAAGGGAAGTATTAATTATCCTTCCCTAAAAAATTTTTCTTGATATGATTTAGCATTTATTTAGGCTTATCTCTTAAAATTAGAGCACGTCTTTGATTCTTTGAGGATCGTCTAAAATGTTCATTTATATTGACAATCGATTCGAAATTCATAACGAAACAGCGACGAATTCACGTTCCTGTAGGTATGTCTCGGACTTCAACAGAAGCAAAGAATGAAAAACACTTCGATGAAAGAACCTCCATCTCCATGATGACGGCACATTTGAACTGGCGCGAAATTCCGATCGACATGCTTCGTTCCTCTGAACGATTGAAATTTAGATAAAATTTCACGAACTATAAAAAAAATATTCAAACTTAAAATTCTAGATCAGACACAGCACACTGTTTAATGGTCAAGACTTTTTCTGGAACACAACTATCAACAAAAACACTAAGTTTTGGAGAACAAAATTTTACAAATGTGCAGGACAAAAAAAATAAAAAAAAACAAAAAAATAAACAGCTTTTTTCTCTGCCCTTAATCCAGAGTCCTTTGACTATGCTTAAAAATTGGAGAGTTGAACAAAAATTAGTGCGATCAACTTCCTTAATGAGATTTTTTCACTTTTGAACCGGTTTTCGATATTTGATTTATTTGGTTGTGAGGCGTGGTATTGCATCAGAAAAACAAAGCTTATGTCAGGATTACGCCGGCCATCTGATGGTATCAACATCTTTTTCATCTAAATTCTTATATCCTGAATCAAGAAATAACTTAGAAAACGACCAGGGAGAGCAGAGACTATTTTTTTTGTAACCGCAATATCACACAAACTCAACTTATCTGTTTGTTATTGTGCAATTGGTTTCTTCTCCATGCTTCTTTCTAGAAGCTGAGTTCAAAGTCCACAAATTTGGCGGTAAATATTCTACACCCGCTGTAGGAGGCTTACGGGTTTTTTTTTTTTTTGGGTGAAATGGTAATGCTTAAGATACAATCTTGATTTTCTTTTGTGGCCATAGAATTATTTCGAGGGCGCGACAATGTTTGTGAAGCCTGGAAGTTTTGATACAGGTGTTTTTCATGAAAATGGAGACAGGAAATTGTCACCGGTTGATTAGTTACCGAAAAATGTTTTATTTTTAATCCTGGAATTAAAGTGGGGCAGGTATAGGTAAAGAGGGTACGTCAGGAAAAATAACCAAACTACAATAATCATAGCCTGGTGGTAGAATCTAATAAATTTTGGAAAATGAGGCGAGAAAAGTTATTCATCGAGGTAATGTTTCTTGACATTGTGGGAATCAAATTAAAGTAACTGGCAAACATTTTCCCTGCACGAGGCAGGAATGTTTGCCCTCAAGTTTGGAAGCACTTACGATTCTAATGACGGAAATTGACATTTTCAGTATACTGAGGAACACCTTGAAGATCACTATTTTAAGAGGGGACTTTCGGAAAATGGCAATGAAATGATCCGAAACGTTTCCGTCTTATTGTTCACGGAGTTTTTCATCACAACAGGATACGGAAATCTAGGCCGTAACAGCTCTTTGCTGAAAAAGTAATTGAAATGAAGCTATTTGCGCATTTTATGTGAAACTAGGCAAATATTTTCTTTTCTGGTCAGTACATTTAGATATCCGTACATTTATAAACATCTCCTTTTGAATTTGAGTGGAAGGGACGTGGAGGGGGTTCTTTCCTTTGTCAAAAAATTTTTGACACCAAAAGGAAGCAATAAAAGACCTATGTATAAATTGAATAACTCAAGCATTATCGTAGTTCTGTTTTATAGTTATTTTTCTATGGATTTTTTTATCTACTTCTCTAAATGATTTCGACAAGTTGTGCATCTCTCGATAAATATCTCAACGTTATCAAAAGCTTGAAAATAAAGTAAAGTACATATGTAAGACGTAAAAAAATTATTAAAATTGATGGAAATTATACCATGGCGTTAGTTATGGGCCTCGATCAATTCGACAGCGAATAGATTTTCGATGTTTTGATTATGGGCATAAAACTATGGTAAACCACAAATTCTGTATATTAGTGACGATTTTACGGGGCCATTGATTCAGTGCAAAAAGATTCGCATTGAATTTTTGAAGCTATGTAAACTGGGCGTGATTTGAAGACCAGTTTCCATCACGCCATGTCAGCAATTGCTCAGATTTGATGCCCCTACCGGTTTTCATAAAATATAGCAAAGCTCCAGTTCTTTGTGGTCACGATCTTATGGAATGAAGCTCTCGACTCTCTCAACAATTGGCATAAAGAAATAAGGAGTGATGATTAATTCTTGTGTCTATGCTTCAGCTTAGACAACTGCTTCCGGAAACTTCACCTAATAAAATTTTTAGGCGTTGGGCTATGGCGGAACTGGCACAGACTCTCTATCTCAAGACTTGACTCAAGATAGAATGAATAGATACTTCAGGGAAAAAAAAAATTGGACGAAAAGTTGATCATCAAAACTCCTGACGACACAAATATCTATATTTTGCCGGTAGCTTTGTTTGCGAAAAAAAATGGCAACATCCACCACTATCGTTAAGTGGTGGTCGGTTGAATGTGGCTATTATACCTCTGCAAAGTAATTTTAATAAACTATCAAAGCACCTAAAAACTCCATCAAAAATTTCCCCTCCTATCTACACGAGTCTTCTGACGGGAAGATGTTTCTTTTCGGTTTGAACAGTTCAATCAACTTTAACTTCCCCATTATGCTTTTATTTCTACCTTAGTGCGCTGGAAATTAGAGAGTTTTGACATTGACCTTTTGTTTTTTTTCTCAGGGGCTTTTCTGATTCCCTACTTCGTCATGCTGATATTCGAAGGAATACCGATCTTCTACTTGGAACTCAGTATCGGTCAACGCCTTCGCCAGGGAGCTATTAACGTCTGGAGCACAGTATGTCCCTACCTCGGAGGTGTAGGGATTGCAACAACAGTGGTTTGCATACTGGTTGGCAGTTATTACAACGTGGTCATTGCTTGGGTGTTGTTTTACTTCGTCCAGTCGTTCCAGTCCCCTCTTCCGTGGGCAGAGTGTCCTCGAGTCGCAGGCCTTAACAGCACTGAGTTAACAATGCCAACAGAATGCTATAAGAGCAGTCCAACCGCTTACTTCTATCACAGGGAGACTTTGATGCATGCCAACAGAATAGAGGAGAGTGCAGTGATCAATTGGAAGTTAGCCGTGGCTCTTGTAGTTGCTTGGGTGCTGGCCTACCTTTGCATCATCAAAAGCATACAGTCATCTGGCAAGGTACGGTAATTATTATATTGTCAAATAGTTTGTTGCCATCCAGCTCATGCAAAACTTACTTTATCTGGTTCACTGTTCTGATCACCTCCGTATGGTTAGCACGTTCCCTACAGCAAATTTCACAACTATGCTAGATTACTTTAAAAGCAAATCAGGGTACTTTTATCCTGTTATAAACACAAAGATGATTTTGTAGAAATAAATTACAATCTGTTCAAATAGTGTCACGATAAGCCTTGATGTTATCTCGTAGGTGGTCTACTTTACAGCGACATTTCCTTATTTGGTCCTCCTCGCATTCTTCATCCGGGGTCTCTTTTTGAAAGGCTTTGAGAAGGGAATAATACATTTGTTTACACCAAAGGTATGTATGTCATTTAAAAGCTGAGGTTTTTTCGCACTGAAAGGAAAAGAAGTTAAGTTAAAAAGAAGAAAACAAATTCAGGGAGTTTGTGGTTCGATAGTTTGCGTTGAGTTATAATGATATACTTTTGGGGAAAAGAAGCTTAGGTAGTTAGGTACCCTACTTTGCTAATTAAAAAAAAAATAAAGATTAGCCAGGGATTGTCAGGAAGAGTTAAGCAAATAGCAATGAGATGAGGGGGCACTTTGGTGTGGAGTGACATTTGGGCCTCTGGTGTTCAAGCCTGTTAGAATAATGATAATTTGACCTAGAATCGGAACATTCTTAGGCAAACTTGTGCGGGGACTCTCACTGGATAAGATCGGCTTAAGCACAACTGGCTATCATCCAGCGGCTACGGTAAACTAAAATAGACAGAGGTAGGCAAGGTCAGAGGAAAGAGGGCAGAAGCTACGAAAGCATTGACTGGCCTTTTCAATTCGTGAAAAAATTTTGCATGCTAAGATCTATAACATGCTAACTCCTGTGAAGGTCATGTGACTGTTCTGAAAATACTACCGGTAATCTCTGAAGCAGGGATACTCGCATCTATAACGGCTATCCAGAAGTCCAAAGTGTCTAAAAACAGTAAGCTCTATCTCAGTTGTAATTATCCTTTGGATGAGACCAGTTTAACCCCTACCAAAAATGGTTTAGAGGTGCGTTGATATCTTTGCATCCTTGAAATGATTTTTGCCAAAACGGCACTTGTCAATAAGTTGAGTTGACTACGGCAGTCTCGTTGACCTCAGCTTAAACTGAACCATCCATGATCTCTTTAAATTGGTAGCTGTAAGAGGGCTTACTGTGAGATAGCCTGCGCCCGGGGGGGTACTCCCTTATGAGGGCTTAATGGGGACGTGCGGCCAGCCAGGGTATGTTTTTGCGAGATTCTTGTCTTAAATAGGGTATCGAATTTATCATTTTTTGTCTCAATCAGGGTATCGATTTTTCAGTTTTTGTCCTAAACAGGATATCATTTCTTGGAAGATAAACAGAAAAATTTTTACAAGCTCTAATTTTAATTAATATTGAATTCCGTTGATTTTGGCATTGATACCAGGCACATTTAATGTCTTAAACAGAGTATCAAAAATCGGAATTCTGTCTTAAACAGGGGAGGAAAATCAGCGATATTTGTCTTAGACAGGGTCAGGGTATGAGGGGCCGCGCCGCACCTCCCCACCCAGGAATATATCGAGTATCCCCTCCCCGGGAGCTTGCGTCGCAGACAGTCTAAACCGTCAGTATAGACGGACTATACCGGGGATTGTGTGACACGTCCGGCTGTATGTAACGCAGGCTAACTGTGAGAGGGCTTACCCAGATAGATTGCTTATGTAAAGGACTAGAAGAAAGAAGGTCTAATCATTAATCCTTCTCCAAGATGATCACTAACGTCTAACTGCAGTAGAGGTTTCTGCGATTCCAATGCAGTTTAACACTGCGGTTCCAATGATGTAACTCCAGCAAACATGGACAGCGTAAGTATGGACTACGTGACGTCTGCAATTCTAATGCAGAAAAGTGTCACAACAGAGGAGGATCGAACCCGTAATTTCTAAACTGCAATTCAAATGCAGCGTAATCATAAGGACGGTTGATAAGTTTCCTGCAATTCAAATGCAGTTTTCCCTCTCGTTTAACTTACCTTTGCTATTATAATAGGACTTCATCATTATCACTTCCTAAGCAACTGCAATTCCAGTGCTGTCTCAAGCCTGCTGGTGTGTATTTCTGCTAAAATCGGCTGTTTCTCAGTCGTTAACCTTTTCAAAAGAACGCAGTCAGATTCCACTCATGGTGCCACGTTGAGCTAATTTCGCAAATATCTTTAGCACTTAAATCCTTTCTGCAATTCCAATGCAGTTCCCAAACTCAAAACAGAGAGTAAGACAAAAGTTTCGACGTTCTTTTAAAGGAATGCAGAATAGTAGGAGAAACTTTCTCCTGTTAGCAAAACTCAGCAATTCCAATGCAGAGTGTAATATCTCTCGGGAATTCATGTTTCCAAAACAAATGGGATATGCCCCAACAATGCTGCTTACGACTAGGTTGAGCTCTCGCCAATAACTATAAGCCGGCATGGCAACGAAGACTTCCTCTACGTTTATCAGCCTTTTCTTCGTTTCGTGAAGAGGTTCGAGACCACACAAACCATCGGTGACTTGTAAACCAGCAATTACAGACATACGTGTGCAATTCCAATGCATTCAACACTCAGTGAAAAGTCAACAGACACTAACTTACCTTCATGCTTCAAATGTAGAAACTCAAGATGGAAACGATGTGATTCAAAGTGAGGATCTCGAGTCCGAGATTTAAGTCGAGGTGGGCATCACGTGGACATATTTCAAATGCATAATAAAAGACATATATAATTCACTGATAAAGGTTCATTAAACTCCATTCTCGCAGAGTAACAAAATTGTTTGCTATTATATAGAAAGCAATATTGCTGTGTGCTGTGCCTTTAGAGCTCAGTGCCGGCTGTCGGGCAGAAAATCACTCAAATTTGGCGTTCTCGAAACGCTGGCATTCTTCTTTGGAAAAGAAACTTGAACATTGCGGCTTATGCATTAAAACTTGCACAACTTTCTTGAATAAGTATAAAGTGATAAAGCTATTCTTAAAATTTATTTAATAAAAAATAACACATCATGATCTTAATGCTGTGTACTGCGCCTTGTGCCTAGTCACGGCAATCGGACCAACTCAGTAGTTCTCAAAACACTGGAACAACACCAAAACCATGATTCTCTTGCTTTTTTGTTAACTACGTCTGCTTATAGTTTGTTTGCTGAGCCTTGTGCCCAGCAATCGCCATCATTTTCAAACGCAGTAGTTCTCAAAACTCTGAATCTTGGCTTTAATCAACTTTATTCTCCAATTGAACCGCTAAGCGTAAATAAATGAATGCTGACCGCTGCGCCCTGGTGCGCAGTGGCAGTAACCAACCAAATACCCAGTCGTTCTCAAAACACTGGTTCCTCTACTCACAAAATCGATTTGAATATTTTAAAATGCTGATTGCTGCGTCTTGGTGCCCAGTAACAGCTGTCAGTCAGATCCCAGTAGTTCTCAAAACACTGGCTTTCTATAAATTAACACAAAGGTGACCTCCAAACTATGAATGCTGATGCTGCGCTTTAATGCCCAGTGACAGCTTCCAAACAAGTGCCCAGTAGTTCTCAAAACACTGGTAATCTGTACAGATACAAAACATATACCTTAATGCTGAATACTGTGCTTTGTGCCTAGTTTCAGCCACCAGTCAGTCGCAGAAGTTCTCAAAACACTGGTAGAAGAGACAAATTTAGGTGCTCTGGTCTATCGATCAAGCATGTAATGCATTCTTATAAGATAAAATATAAAATATGTTTGGACCTTCCGCTGTGTCTAGCACTCAGCAGAAGAGCCCATTCGTTTGCGCAGCTGTTCTCGAAACACTGTAGTCTTCTGCATAATTGCCGCAAATTTAACATTTAACATCTGATAACTGAAACTTGGTGGGCTAGGTGTATTGCTCATCGTTTACTGATTACTGCGATTAAATAGACTATAAACCGTATACTAACTGGTTTAACTCTTAGTTAAAAGTAAATGACCTGAATAAATCAACTTTAAAACCTGTCTGGCACCGATCTCTGCGCCTGGAGCCCAGATGAAATGTGTCGATCACAACAGGACTCAGTAGTTCTCGAAACACTGATATATATTTTCATCAACAGTGGGATCGACTTCTGGACCCACTGGTATGGCTGGACGCAGCTACACAAATCTTCTTCTCTTTGGGCCTGGCTTTTGGCACTATGGTTGCCTATGCCAGTTACAATCCTATACATCAAAACACACTGCGTGATACCATTACAATTTCCGTCGCTAACTGCATGACTTCCCTGTTCGCTGGGATTGTTGTTTTCTCCATTTTAGGATTCAGGTAAGAGACCTCATCACTGTTTCATCGAAAAACATGAGGAGATCCAATCAATTTAGGCCAGAACTCTCCAAACCTCCCCTTCAACCAACGTTTTGGGTAGAATACAGCTAAGAGAAAAGTTTCAAACGAAGTTCGCCCAGGCTAGGGGTAATGCGATGATGCGTCATGCTTACTTCTACAGTTTAGCGCCCCAATTTACCAAAATTCGGCAAATTCGAATGATGTCGATCTCACAAAATTATTCATTTCTAGCAAGACCACTATTAATGTCGAAGGCAGGTGACCGAGACACGGCACGTAAGGAATTGCTATTAGTTCTTTCCTTCGCCCGGTTCTCGACGAAACACAGGTCGTGCATAACTCCGAGAAATTTGACGATAGTTTTGGTGCGCGCTTCAGACCGGACGTGGCAAATTAATTATTATCACAAACACATTTTCATGGTCACACCTCGACGTACACGTTTCATTCCAAATACCAAAAATCCAGTCCACGGTGTCACCGTCCGAGTAATGAGTTTACAAATCGATCACCGTCTCCAAGCTTACAATACCGGGTCAATTAACATTTCGGTCAAGAGAAATATTTAACCAAATCCTTGCTGCTCTTCAACGTCGTTAATCATCCTGGGTAATTGGATAATTGCCTCTCCTAAAAAACTATCATTTTGAGGTATTCTTCTACCTTCTAACGAGAGCCAAAAAATGATCCAAATATTGTGACCTAAACGAGTCCTTTAAATAGGCCCGGCCAAGGGGCATGGGTATTCAGGCATCCAAAGTCTTGTTATATCCCGTACACGGTATACTCACATCACAGGGCAGGTATGGGTTTTTGCGTCAGAGTCAACAACTTTGGGGTTTTGACATTAAAAAATCTTAGGCATATCAGTAGCTCAATGGAACAAGATCGGGTTCATCAGTGTCCCGCGAACCCCTGATCGTGAAATAACAAGGAGGAGACCATAGGGTATAAGAACTGTTTCAATAGCCAGTGAGCCACAGTCTTTGACAAATAGATTGAACAACTAGAACAACCCTTCGAAAATTAAGTGATCTAATAACAAATGGCGTGTTTTTGACTTCATCTCTGCTCTGGAGGGGAAAGGGGTTTTTCATTAATTTTGGTTTCGTCTAAGACTGTGGGAGACTGTTTTGAAAAGTAGGATGGGAGCAAAAGACTTCGTGTGAGAAATACCTTTGTGAAATACGTTTACGTTTTCACAGAGCAACGTACATGATGGAAAACTGTGAAGCAAACAATGCCAAACTCTTGGAGAGCTTCAACGCAACTCACCAGCTGAACACAACTGGATTGTCCTCAAGCAATATCACAAGTGGAATTGTGCTTCCAAAATGCGATCTGGAAACTTTCCTTACAGATGTAGGTGTACCGTTATGTGTACTTAGTCTTCAGTTTTTCGATTAGTCCTATAATTTAGTGGAAGCCAAAGTCAGTAGATAACGTTTCGGGATCTTTGTTTCTCAACTAAATACCGTGTTCCGCAAAAAGGGAAAACATAGTTGTGGGACATTTTCAATCAGTTTGGTTTAGAGTAGTTTAAAGCACTAAAAAATAATAGCTGTTAGTGCTTAGTAATCTTAAGGCATTGAAGACTCCGGCACTGCTTCTAAATTTGCTATTCCCCGTGTTGGGTAGGTGCACTTCTTCGGCATAGTCGCGGTAAACTGAAGAATCTTAAGTTAAGATTGGGCAATGACCTTAATAAGCTGAATGTCCCTTTTTTGCTGCACCATGACGTGAGTGCCACTTGGAAAGCTCATTAGAAACCCGAACGAGAAATTCCTGGTACCATGACTCTGATTGGTAAGGCCACCTCAAATTTTTGTCATCCAATAGGCAGCCAGTGGTCCAGGACTGGTTTTCATTGCATTCACTGACGCCATCAACCAAATGCCTGGGGCAACCTTCTGGTCCCTCTTGTTCTTTCTCATGCTTCTAACTCTTGGGTTGGACAGCTTGTTTGGAGCGTTGGAAAGTGTAACGACAGCCTTGCAAGACGTCAAAGGATTTGGAAAACTGAGACGCGAAATTCTATCTGGTAAGCGGTCTCATGATATCTTTTCTCAGAGCCAAGGAGGGGGGCATTCTTAGAGTGCCCCTTCTGTTATTGAGGACATTTTTGACAAATGAGAGCGCGGGGGCTCGCCATACATCAGGAAAATACTTAGTTTCCAAGTTAAACGGGTTTAAGGGACGGAAATACCAGCGCAAATTGGCTAGTAACAAAACGTCAGAGGGAACAGTTTTCAATCCTTCTCTTGTGCTAAGATTGGAGCATAGAACAAAACAAATTCCTACTGAGTTCTGCATTATTGAAGTAGGAGAAACTTGCACTAATGAAATTGGAGTGAGCCGTTGTGTATTCTGATCTATGCAGCTGCAAGCGACGGACGATAAACGCCCGAGTCAAATTAAAATTTGGTAACAATTAACCATAATCGTTTGTATGTTGCAATATGTGTCATAAATCCTTTTTATTCCAGGGCTTCTGTGCATCACCGGGCTCTGCATCGGTCTTCCCATGGTAACATATTCTGGTGAATATATTCTCCAGATGTTTGACAGTTTTGCAGGCAACCTTCCTCTGCTACTCATTGCAATCTGCGAGTGTGTCGGAGTTTGCTATTTCTATGGCATAACAAGGTGAGGTTGATTTGAAATTTGTGGTATCGCGGATTATAACACAAGCTCCTCTAAGATGAAAATGAAGACATTAGGGAACAGACAATGCTAAGTGATCTCTATTCCTCCTTCGTTGACAGATTTTCCGACGACATAGAGTACATGACGGGGAGTCGACCAAACATCTTTTGGAAAATCTGCTGGATGCTCGTCACCCCAGTTGCCATGTTGGTTATCCTAATCGCCAGCATCGTTCTCATGTCGCAAGGAAAAGCTTCCTACTATGCCTGGAACAAGGAAATGGTGAGCAATCAATAGGCTCTGTAATTAAAAAAGAATGAATAATAAGCAAACAAAGCTCCTTTACTTTAACCCTATACACTCTCATATCAGTATGCATATTCTCCATATAGTTCTCTATACATTTCCAAGTGCTTTTATAACATAACCAAAGTAAAGCGCGCGCTCTGATTGGTCAATTCTAGAGTCGCTCTCGGCTATCGCCTCGCGCGACTTTCGTGCTTAGCAATCTCCCGCGTGCATCCATAACTCAATAGTGTACGTTGTGGTGTTTACCATTTGTTAACTTTAGTTGGTGATCGTTTCCTATGTGATTCAGGGGACTTATATATGCGTTATTAACCAAGTGTAAGGTCAAGATGGCTTGAAATTGGCCGAGTTCTCTTTTGTGTTCCTGTGGACCTCGACATCGTCTCGGTCCACAAAAACACCCAAAAAGAACGACGCTAGCGTCCAGCCATCTTGACCTAAAAACTTGGTCATTAAATGATATACTATAGAGCAAAAAGATTTGGCTTTATCAAGAATCAAGAATGACTTGTTTATTTCGAGAGCCGGGAAAGAAAGCCAACTGTGTTGTTATTTAGTCACTCTACGGGGTCAAAAGATTAAGAAGTTATGGTTCATGTACTTCCAGCATTTACTGCTTTCATCATTCAAAGGACTCAATGACACGATGTATCGTCTTACCACTTTTCTTTAGATATTTTATCGAAGTTTATCTGAACTAGTAATTCTTGAGTGATTTGTATTAGCCGCTTTCTCCTGTTAATTTGTTTGGTGTGCTCCCCATTTAGGCCACCTACGAGAAGGTGCCTTACCCAGGCTGGGCAGTCTTCATTGCGGTCATACTCATTCTGATGTCAGTTCTCTTCATTCCTGGCGTGGCTATCGCACGATACTTTGGCATAGTCAAGTACCAAAAGTTGAAACCTGTTCCATTGAAGGAAGCTGAAGCGAAATCTCTCAATAACGACTTTGACGACACAAACGTTTAACTTAACTTTCATCAAGCAACGGAGCCTCATCACTGATTAGGACCATCTCTGGAACATAATGGTGTGGTAGTATTTGCATCCTATCCTGGCTGTTCTCTGTACATTTGCAAAGGTGCTGACAAGGAGAATTTGGTTAACAGTCAATAGTTGATCGTTTCTTTTATTCTCATGACCTTAATGTTTCATTTAAAGGTGATAATGTAAGGAGAAACAGAGGCGGATCCAGGAATTTTTTCAGAAAGGACTGTTGGACTCTTTGAGGCAAATTACTTCTCCCCCACACCCCCTCCCACCAGTCTCGGTTGCACGTTATAGTTCCTTGGCCGCTTACCGTTTATTTGGATTCGTTAAAAAAAATCAGCCAGTTAAAAGTGATATACGATCCTGTCTCAAGGTTGTAAGCGTCAGGTTTGATAGGGGGTCCGGACCCCCCCCCCTGGATCCGCCACTGAGAAAGTAGATGCTAGTCACTCTTAGAGGTGAAGGGGATGATGGGATGGTTGTGTGCTGAGGTTCCACCTTACTATGGCCATATACATTTAGGTCCAGAGTATCTTAGAGAAGTGTCCAATGGGTTGTCAAAAGTAAACCAAATTTTCCTGTTTTACAGTGAGCCTTTATGCCCCAAATCAAACATGAATTCTCTTCACTTGTCCCTATATATATTCTTTTTTCAATCATTTTCATGACCCCCAGTAGTAATTGTTTTTTGTAAGGAGAAATTCGACGCTGATAACTTTTAGGGCTTACAAGGTAAACGAAATAAATGCTTATTTAGTCATTTTGAGCTTATTAGAAAAGTTCCTTTAATAGAGCGAAAACCTGAGAGAATCGAAGGCAACTTTAAAATAATCGTTTTCTAAGTTTAAAATGAAATGAAAAACGAAAAAGGTAGAAGACGACAAAATTTTAGAGAAAGGTTTCACGAAGCACAGACAGTGATGTAGTTCCTTTAACAGATGTTAGTCTTCTTTTAAGTTTTAGCGGCATTGACTGGAAACAGTCTTGTAAAACTAACTCAAAAACTCTTTATCAACACACTCCTGCTGCGTGGCCAGCTTGAGTTGCTGCCTCTTTCTTTAATCGCCAATTTTGGCTCCTTCTTGTTGTGTGACAATCAGTCTGGGCTTTGATTTAACTATTTATTACACGACTCGGGCAGTCAGAGGGCCAATAACTAAAATCAACCAATCAAAATGTTCTATTGCCGGTCCAATATTCTCTAAGTATTGGACCGGGCACTGTCCCGAATGGTCCTGAATGATACCGCATTTGTGTCCCTTTGAACTTCAGTCGTATAATAAATCTCTTATTAACCAAGCTTGCTCGGGACCGTACTGGAAGAATATTGGCCCTCGGTCTTTTTTGTACGGACCTCGCTGCGCTCGGTCCGTACCGTCAAGACCTCGGACCGATATTCTCCCAGTACGGCCCTCGCGCTTGGTTCATAAGATATATGTATTGGAAAAATGTGCCATCCATAAAGGATGATTATAAATCATTGTGAAAGATGTACACTTCTTACAGTATCGAGTACGTATGTCTATTGAAAATAGATCGTAATCTGACACATACATCTGAAAAACTTTAAAAAAGGTTATAATTTCTAATCAGTTGAAACAACTAAAAGTTATTTTGCGATTCCCGCGCATTTGAAGGTTTTCTTATTTTGTGAAAGATGTTTACTTTCCTTTAGTTATGTTATATCAATTAAATGAGAAAAAGTCTTTTATTTTTGTATAATCATAATTACTAAGGTTAATATTAAAGATAAGTAAAGCAGTACTTAATGTTTAATATTAAAGATAAGTAAAGCAGTACTTAAAGTGTCTATACGGCCAACAGGGTTTTTATAGTTTTGGTATGTATTTAACATGTAAAAAAGTATTCTTAAATAAAAATTGGATTCTGACGAGTCTTCGCCCTGAAATCGAGCTTTAAACTCCCCGCTTTGGCCACGCCCATTGAAGGTGACCGTGAGTCGGGGCAAAAAAGAGATTGGGTTCAGAATGGGTCGTGACTTCAAATCAGGAACGCGCCAAATCCCGCCAGTGGTTCAATTCACTGTAAGGTAAAGAGTTTTCGGCGACATAAATATGCCCGATAGATGTGTTGTAGAAGTACTGCGTTTGTCACGCAAAGTAACAACACGACACTCGAGACGCTCCTGGAGTGATATCACTCATCACCAATCTTCCCTTACGCGGTCAACTTCATTGGGCGTGGCCGAAGCGGGAACTTTAAAGCTCGATTTTAGGGTGAAGAGTCGTTAGAATCACATTTGTTTTTTTCAGAATACTTTTTTTACAGGTTAATGAGATACCAAAACAATAAAAACCCTGTTGGCCGTATCGACACTTTAAGCTTTAATTTAGTTAGCGTAAATCCAGTTGGTTATGTAATTCAAGTTAATTAAAGTTAACCCTCTCACTCCCAGGGTTGATGAAAATGAAACTTCTCTCAAAAATATCCCTAAGTTATCCAGCAGACAGGTAATGAGAACATGCAAACTCATCCGGTAGTTGTTTCTTGATGCAACGCCAAATTCTTGTAAGTAATTTACAAGGAAATGTGTAGCAGCTGGAGAGGAGAATTAACAAGCAGACCTTGGTAGTAAAAGGATTAAAAATAGTGATAAAAAAAATTGATCACTTTTCATTTGAGTATTATCAGTGTAATTTATTGTGTCGGAAGATGTAACAATAACCTTGTCCTAAATGCACATTCAATTTATATCTATACGTTCTGATGTTCAGATTGAACTAAGACATCAAGTAGCTTCCTGTGGTTGCACATATAGATGAGTTCTCATGGCAGATATGTTACAAAGTGCTGAACTAGTGAAGGTTTTCTTTCTGATGACAATCAAAAGTTTAATAACCGTCACTTGAAGTGAACAAACTGTCACAAGTTTAGACTAAACCTAACACAGATGGTGCATTAAGATATGAAATAAGTTCCTAATCATAACTCAGTTCCTTCAATCGCCATATACAATAACTTACTTTCTTACTATATTGGAATAGAGTTCCATTATACTGTATCAACATGGCAAAGTGAATAAAGATAGATTCACTGATTAACTCAATTATTTCACACGAGACCAGTGTCATATTAAACTGGCACATACAATACACAACTGTACATGCTTCTCCCTGTGTGGTTCTAGGTGGGATGTACAAGATACTAGAGATCCTTGCCATGGCCATGGGCCAGACATTAGTCTGTTCATGGGCCAGTAGCCAATCAGAGCATTATTGTCATGGCCATGTGATGCTGATTGAGCAAGGTCTATTCGCTGTACATGCATGTTTCGACGCACTGTAGATTCTGACAACATGCAAGACCAGATGCGGACTTCTCTTACCTTGGTAGAAAGAAATTATGAAAAAAAAAAAACGCATCAAAAGAAATTCATGGCCAGGTTGTTCAAAGCTAGGTTAAGATAATCTGTTTTCAGATCTCTAAGCTCTAAAAGAAAATTCAGTATGATTCTCTTTGTCTATAATTTGATGATTGGATGCTCTTGAAGGGATAGAGGAAATAATATAAAAAAAAAATCTTTGAACAAAGGAATAAAGAAACCCAAATTAAAATTTAACCCTGGGTTGATGCTTATCTGCTTTCAAACAACTAGGCCCAGGTTTGCTTTGGTTTTGCTTTACTTTTCTCCATGGTTTAGGTCTGAAAAATCTTGTAGCACCCTCTTGAGCACTCATACTCTTGTATGCTTCAGAAAGCCATCTTGTTTTCTCTTTTCCTGAGTTCTTATTGTCTCCAACTGGTAACTTCCATCTAGAGATGCCTGAAGCACATACTCACCCAATGCACATGCAAGTACCCACCCCTAGTATACAACAAAACTAACTTGAAATACACAACCAGTATTGAAGTTGTCTACTTGCGGCAATACCCTCAGAAAAAAATATTTCAAGGAAGAAACTTATTCAGTAGATCTTACCAAACCATTGAAAGGATACCATCCACAATGGCCTTGAGGCATGGCATCATCACTCCAAGGTGTGCACACTCCATGACTGATGACACCATTGCCAATTTGACTGTGTCTCATATAATGTCTGAAAGATAATGTGTATTAACATATCATTTAAGAGTGGAATCAGTGATGGAATCAAGTAATGACAAGTTCTCTCCAATTGTCTTGCAGTTTGTCAATTCACTCATACATTACAACATTGTTTGGTTAATTAAAGTGAATTGGAAAATGTTCAAAGATGAAAGTGAAGAAGATTTTTTCATTAAGAAAAACAAGGGAAATCATTAAAAAAAAAAAGAAATTCCACTTTCTATAAACTACAGGAGTTGAGCCCATGAACTTTTTGTTAATAATTAACATGCAACACCACAGAGTAAAAGGAGGCTTTTGGTGACAGGGCAAGTAGCTTGTACTTTGTATTTTGTACTTAAATAGTTTAAATCATGTATCTTATTTTTATGTTCCCTGCATTTTTATGTTTCTAGTTCACATTTCAATTTTTTTACATTGTAAAAGTAGCTATAAGGGAAGGTACGTTTTTTATTGGAGGGGGGGTGGGCTGAGGCTTCGGAGGGGAGGGTCATTAGTAAATATTTTACAAAATGGGGAGGGTCAAACCTGTTTGATACGCAGCTGGGGGAGGGTCATAGTTTTTTTTTTTTTTTTTTTGGCAAGGGAAAAACTACTCCATGTCGGTTAGTTGACTTTTAATTATTTGTTACCAAACACGCAAAGTGTACAGAAACCTAAAACTTATATATACAAGCAAAGCTACCAGTCTAAATCAATCTACATCATTTTAAACAGATATCGAAATATTATGTCAAGAAACTATCTTGTCCCAACTAACATAATTGTCTCTCTCGACGTGTGCCCACTTTCGTCCATATTTTGACGTCGGTAATGTTTCCAATGTGCTACCAACAGAGTCAGAGGAGTAGCGGGCATCCCTTTTAGAATGGCGAGTCGGCAAACAGCCACAATAGCCACAAGTTGCTCCATCTGACCTCATGAAATCCTCACATTATCCACAAGCGCATTTCCTTCTTTCTATTCCTTGCACATCCTTGCCCATTTTCAAGTTTCCACCATGCAATGCCACGCAATTAACTGCTTTGTGCACAGACACGGTTATGTGAGCAACACTTCCGGTCAGTTATTTTCACTTCTGGTTATTTTTGTCTTGGAGGAGGTGGGGGAAGGGTCAGATCCTTTTGTTTAGGCATTTATGAAGGGTCATGCATTAATCCAATCTGGAAAGTCAGAGGGCCACGACTTTTTTGGCAAAAAATTTCTAAAATGCCACGGCCCACCCCCCCCCGCCCCCCAATATAAAACGTACCTTCCCTAACAAGTTCACACTTACATTCACATGACAATAAGACTGCACACCACCATGGATTTTAGTGTTTGTGTGATTACTTTGCAAAGAAATAGAAATGAAGATGAGCCTTCCAATTTTGTTTTACACAAAACCAAGTTTCATGAATATATGTTAAATTTCAACAAAGACATTTTCACTGAGGTTCAGAGTTGCAAGCCTGGTGGAGGCCATTATGATTATTACTACCACTTGTTCACACCATTCTAATCCCTTTTAAGAATACCTTCAGCATTTCACCAGGCTTCCCTTTAAAGTTTGCCACTAGTTATCAGTTCCCACCCTGGGTGTGGGGAAGTACTAGGAGAAGCAGGGCCCCAGGGAATTCTAAGTTCTGTATAGCTTGCTAATGGCAATTTTTTTTTTTTGCTGTTGAGTTTTTGGACTTGTGTGACAAATTCATTGAGAAGGAGAGACTCCTCTGGTCTAACTTGGCCAGTGCTTAAGGCAGGCATTAATGATCTGGGACAAGTTCTTCAAAGGGTAGATGACGCATCCAACAGATAGCGATTTATCCAGTGGAAAGCGTTACCCATACTTTGAATGACCTGGGTGAGGAGGCCTGCAACTTAACCATTTTACCGCCACATCTACCAAAGTTTATGTGAAAAAGGATTAAAGCTGCACCTGTGAAGTTCATGTCCAATTCCAAAATTTATGGAGCAAACAATGCGTCCATCTACAAACATGCACTGCCAGTCTGACGATGCAGCTAGTGCAAGGTGGTGCCACTGTCCATCATTGATGCAGGGTCCTTTCATGTACTTGTAGGGTTCCAGGGAACCTCTGATGTGGCCATCTGGACCCACATGAAGTACCTGCCAGTGATATTGAGGCCACCGGCTGGAGCTGAAAGAGACCAACCCAAATAGAAATCAATTAAAACAACTTAAACTGAGAGAGGTGTCTTCTTTGGCAGATTGTTTATGAAACCTTTAATAAAACAATTACCGCATTCGCTTTTTGCGTGATGTCATGAATTGTCAAACCTCGTGTCTGTGTTATCTCAGGCCCCGTTTTGATAATTTATGATATTATGCTCAACCTCATCTAATAATTACTTAAAAAATGTGCCCTTGCTGTCCACGTTCTCCTTCGGTAACATCAAGTAAGTTTTTTGCTGAAAATGGAAAAAAGTCTGCTTAAATTTTACACAGGTGTATTCATTCTTTCACTCCTTTCGTTTCCAGACGCTCTCCTTTGCGTCGTCACCGTTGGTTTTCGGTTGGTTTTTAAGGTACCCTTTACATGTATATATTGTGAAGTTTCGCACGAACAGAACGAAGCAGATACCTTACTGATTCACTCTGGCATCCAATAATTATTCCATCTGGTTTCCTCGTGTTAAGTTTAACCCAAAGCTCTACGCTTTGCTTTTTCGGAGCCCGGTCGTCAAATCGAACTCCATTTATCAAACGTCTATTTTCAGGTCCACCCGGGTTAGTTACAAACTCTGCGCACAATCTTTCCCCTTCGACGCTGGAGAGCCATCCGTTTCTCCTGTTTTTAAATGAGAGAGCATGACTGGCCCTAAGATACAACTTCTTCCAGAATCCTGGCTCCACATCAAAGTTTCCGCTTTCTTCGTTCGAAGTGGCGACATTGTGAACGCGAATGTTTTGATGAAGTTGCAGCAAGTGATAATTGTTACCTTTAAAACGTCTTTTCCATATAACATTTTGATTTGTTAGTTCGTACAGTCTTCTACTCGTACATCCTAAATTAAGAACATCCTGAATATGTGCAAGGTATACAATTATGTGAAACCCATACTTCCTCAGGAAGGCTAGAGGCTTCCGCCATTTTGTGTTTGTGTTGCCTCGAGTTGATGTGTCACGGCAGTTGCAAGGAGTAGTGCGTTACAAACCGGAAATGTACTTGAAGCGAGATGGACTCAAAACGAACAGTAATAAGAGAGTTGATAGGAAGTGACAATTTTGGAAAAAAAAAACAAAAACAAAAAAACTTTAAATTTACTGAAAGGTTTTAACCTATTAGTGAAAAAACTCATGGTATTTTAAACAAGAAATCGATTAACCTCAAATAATAATATTTTTGCGAGTTGTTGTTTTCTTTTCTTACAGAGATAAATTTTGATTTTAATGCTTAGAATTGACTCACACATGACCAGCTGATCGCTAAGCTTTCAATTTTTACGCGCACAGAAATTCAGTGTATCGGTCGATTATTAAATTGTTGTTACTCACAAATCCCCTATTTCACATGCGTTCATTTTCAAAACATGTAATCGCACCCAGTGAGTTAAAAACGGTCTACGTATCTGGATCGCGACTAATGCACTGGGTCGGGCACGAGGTTAAGTATTTCCACAGACGGTTTTCTTTTCAAATATATCTGAGACCAATTTACACCTTAGAACTAATAAAAATGTGTAATAAGAAACTCGAACCTTTTTCTGGTTTTATATTCTCTCTGTTTTTTTTTTTTCTGCCTCGTGCTTTTTAGATCCTAAGTTTGATCCACCGCGAATAAAATTCCACAGTTGGATTCTTCGGGCGATTTGCGAAGGTTTTCTTCCCAGAGGACACGGGCCTCGCACGCGAACTACAAATATTTTGACTTTGCAAATAAAATTTCGAAGATCCAATCAGGTGAATATCTCATCAAGATAACATCGTGCAGGTTAATAAGTGTTAGGAAAAGAAAACAGCATTACAGAGTTTGTTATTGTTATCATTAAAAGATTATCTCGTTGACATTTTTGGGACCTCAAAAAACCGTGACAACCCGTACTTAGCTTCCGTTATGCAGTATCATTTGATTGACACCTCTAATTGCAATCGTCCCTTTCAAATGGCGGCTTAACGGGGAACTAATTGATTCAGCGTTCTCTGAGTTCGTGGTTTACTATGTGTTTACTCAAACCTTGAACAATTTTCCTTACTTGCTTCATTTATTACGTCCTCTAGCCTGCTCATCAAAATTTGAAGTTTCCAATTACTAATTTTGTGAAGCGAAAGAGGGACAAATATCAGCGTACATTATCTGAGATTGCGTGAATTCTTCGGCGAGATTCAATCTAGCTTTGGAGATTCCTAGCAATAACAACAGATGAGTTAATGCGTCGCGTTGTGATGAGATGGGAAGTTAATGATCGCCTTCCTTACATCTTTTGAGATCTGAGTGGAGATCGCAATTTGTTCCTGGTTCCTTCTGCTGTTGTCTCGCTTGTTCCTGTCCGTTCAGCATCGTTACGATCAATATCTCCGTTCATCAGATTTTCGCTACACTTCACCAGTGTAATGCAATAAAAGGATTTTTGAAGAGCAGACGAAATAGCCTCTATCATCGGTCTTCTGTTGGCATTGGAATAATCTGGCAAAGTTACCGGGACTAATTTGTGTCGAGTATGAATGGAAATGCGAAAATTCAGGTGCAAGCCGTGAATCCAACAAGGCATGATAAGTCTTCGAGTTACTCGGATGAGCTTCCTCCGGCGTTTTCAGAAAGAGACGATCTTGATGCTAGAGATGAGCTGAGAGAACGAGAGTTAGAAGAAGCTCGAGCACGAGCTAGTCAGATGGAAAAGACAATGCGATGGTGGTCGGACTGCACCGCAAACTGGCGGGAGAAGTGGGGAAAAGTTCGCGCTGAACGAAACAAAGCTAGGGAGGAAAATAGGCAGCTCAAACTGAAGCTGGAGGCTGCAGTTAAAGAAATTTCGAACTTGAAGCGCGAAAGATTAGCTGCTCAAGAACTTCAGTCGAAACTTGAGAAGGAGAACGAACGACTGGAGAAGGAATTAAAGAAAGACAAGCGTTCGATTCCCTCTGCTCGAGTTGAGCCATCGCTCAAAGAGAACTCGCCCGATCATTGTGATGGTCTCAAAAACGCTAGCGTTTATGAAACGACAGTACCAAAATTAGGAGCTGAGAAACAGTTTATTGAACAAATTCTTCAGAAGAACGAGTTTTATGAAGGGCAATGCGAAGATGGAAATGTCTTTGAAAGGAGTCATTCTGTTCCCGCAGAGGAACGGAAAAGAAGCCGGGTGAGCTCTAAAAAACAGAAATCCATCGGTGTAAAGCATGCCGATGAGGGAAGTTCACAACAGGTTTCCCTTATACGAATGAAACTTGAACAAACGGAAAAACTTCTCATCGAGGAGAGAAGGTAAGCGTGTATTCTCGGATATTTTCATTTAGTTCATTTTGCGAGAGGAATTAATAAATGCTCAAATTCCTATGCATTATAATCTGCATAAAACTACGTGTGTAATCGGGGTCATGTCTAATTTACAAAGTTAAACGCATAAAAGACTTAAGTCGGACATTTGGTAGTAAGTAAAGGAAAAATGTTTGCTAAACAAAACAGTGCAAATCTTAAAACATATAAGATGACAAATTGATACTTGTCTTAATTGGTCATACTGTGCAGGCGTGCTGATTTGAAGAATGAAGATTATTTTAGGAATCTCCGTTTTGTAGTTCTAACTGTCATGTTCGTTATCGCTGACTCCGCTGACAAAGACTAGACATTAAAACAAGTGTCGGCTAATTAGTTTGGTAGACACAACAAACATTTTAATCTAGCTCAATGATGAATTTTCCGTGGGAAATTGGATATTTTCTTTCAAGATCTTTTTAAGTGCAGCCAATTGACACTCAACCATTCACTGTTTCATCAAGTGAGAGCTTGAATTCGAACCTGGATTCCTATTATGAGGACTTTTAAACATTGCCTCGACACGGCGTTATTCAAGACTTTCCATTTAAACGTTTTACCACTCAGTAGAGCCATTTGTGTGAGGAAAATTATTCATACACGAGTTCACAGTCCATAGCTTTTATCAGAGGGTAGCAAAAGGGGGGAAAATGAAATACAAAGGAGCTATTGTACACATTGGGGAATTTTGCAACTTTTTACAAACAAGCTGAGTACTGTACTGTATAAATAAAACATTTGTAATGACTAAAATGTCCTTTATTTTGGTGATTGCACATATGATTTCAGACCAATTTGTATTCCACTCAGTTCAATCACCATTACTAATATCCATCATATATAAACTTTGCCACCCTCTCATAAAGACAGCAAGTAAACCATTTATGCCAGCATAGCTTAAATAAGACAGAGTGATCATATAAATGGTTGAAACCCTAGTTTGTGACTGTTGATGACATTTTAGGTTGCTTCTTTATCCTTCCTGTAAATTGGTTGGAAAATAATTTTTCTCTTCAATTTACCGAAAATTGTCTTAGTTTTTCCCTGTGACTGTCTCAGTTAACTGTTTCCTCCTTGAGAACTAGGAGAGTGGTTTTAACTCTTATTTTTAGATATTTGCCTTTTTTCTCAGTTCTAAACAGAATCTCCTAGCGGAGTTGGATGGCCTTCAGTCTGATCTCGCTGCCTTAAAGCTTAAAAATGAAGAACTCATGGTTTCTCATCAAGATTATGCACAGGAGGTTTGGTTTTGTATGTGTGTTGCTGTAAATGAAGGAAGACTGCATGTTTCACATCAGGGCACCTCGATTGAGATTTGAGACTGATGATGATATTAAATCTGGCATCATTTGCCAGAAAAAAAGGTCACCATTGGACTTTTACTTCCTGTCTTTGACACTGAAGGCCAGTTTTGCAGTAGGAGTTTAGAGCTCTTAAAACATGATGAATGTTACAACTCAGCCATACTTATCCAATCATTCTTTGACCTTTTGTAACTGGTTGGTGTGTTTCCTAACTGGCTTTTTCTGATGTACTAAACATGATGATGATTTATAGATTGTAAGAGTAAGAAGCAGACATGAAAAGGAAGTTGGACAACTTAATGCTGACTTGGAAGAAGCCTGTAACTCAACCAACAATTCTGCAAATGCTCGTAAAATTAGTGAACTAAGAGGAGAAGTGAGTAGTCATCAGTAGGTACTGTTTTTACTGTTGTCACAGTTTTACAAATATCATAAATCAAGATGCTTAGACAAAATGACTCATCATGGAAAGAAGTATGTTTTTCTTACACTATTTATTCCTTTGATTGTTCAAAGATTGAAAGATTGCAAGCTGAGAACACAGAAGAATGGAGTAAATGCGATAAGCTGGAGAGTGAGAAGTTGGCTTTGGAGAGAGAAAACAAGAAGATGCGACTGCAAATTGAGGTCCTTAACCCTTTGCACCCTAACATCAAAATGCGTATTTTCCATATACTAGATAATTGGTTATGTGAACTAAGTTGAAATTGTAAATTGGCCATGGTAACGAATAAAAAAGCTGACGTTTCAAGCGTTAGCCCTTTGTCAGAGCGAATGACGAAGGGCTAACGCCAAAATGTCAGCTTTTTTATTCATTACGGTGGCCAATTTACAATTTCAACTTAGTTCATTTAACCAATTATCTTTTTACCCCCCACCGATGCAGCACCACAGTTTCTTTAGAAACGTTCAGCCCCTATTTTCCATACTGTTCTCTATACATTTCCTAAGGTGCTGACTAGGAGAATTTACTTGACAATCAAGAGCTTTGTTGGTCAGTGATCAATCTGGCATGTTTAAACAAGCTGAGGCTTGAACTCCCAGCTAACATAACTATTAGAATTACTAAAACATGCAAGTTTCCTGGCCACAATAAGGTGGTAAAGCTCAGTGGAGGGTTACAGAGCACAACACTACTATTCAGGCAGTAAGGGTTAAATTTGTAAAACTTTCAGTCTCCTAATTTTGAGGGAAGTATAGACCCTTTAAAAAGTCTGTGCTTGAGCCAGCTGGCCCATCCAGCCCATCCAGCCCAAGTTTATCTTGGTTTCCATTCCGTGAAGCAACAAGGAGTACTGCTACCCTCCCTTTCTCCATTGGATGGGATGTTAGTCTGTTGCAAAGTTAACCCACTAATATCTGGTGAGGCTTCCCTGATAGTTTGCCAGTGCCCTTTTATACTTGTGGGTGGAGAGACTCTGGTAAAGTTAATTGCTTTGCCCGAGAATACAACAAAATGACCCTGCCAGGTCTGGAACAGGACCTATCAACCTTTTTAAGGAGTGAAGATATTAAAGCATCTCTTTTCAATTAAAACCCACCTCTATTTAATTTTTAATTTTATCTCTTAGGACCTAACATCTCAGTTGACTGAATCCAGCAAAGTATCAAAGGGCTTATTGAGTGCTGATGTGAAACAGTTACAAACACAACTTGATGAGAAGAACAGGGTAAGTCAGTGTGCAGCAAAAAAAGGACTTCAAATTTCATAGGAAATAGCCCTTTCTTTTTCATTTTACTCAGAGAAATTACTTGACAAGGTGAAAATGGAGAGAGGCTTCAGGTTTTCTTTATGATTAAAGATGTAACTCAGAGTTCCAGCTAAGAAATTACTTTGGCAGCTAAAATTTCAATTGAGGCGGCTCAAAGATAACATTCAATATTGAATGATTGTACAGGTGCATATCCTCAGAAGTGCTCATTGTTCTTTGCTGAGTAATTGCCAGCCAAAAACCCAGCTGGCTATTGCTGCTTTTTTATTGGGCAAATTTTGCTGGCAGCAGGTTCTTAATTACAACTAAGGCTGCTTTCACACATGGTGCTAGAGCATGGTGCCTAAGTATAATTCTTTATGGGCACTAATGTGAACACTTTTTTTTTTTCTCAAGTACCCATGCTAGAATTTAGGTATCATGCCCATGCCTGTACCAGAGCACAAGGTCTTAACCTTGTAATTGTGCACTGAATCATGCACTGATAAATTGGGTACCCAGTGTCTGAACACAGCACCATTTTGTGCCAGTTCCCTGGCACAAATGCTTGGGCACCAAAGTGTGAATGCAGCCTTAGGTACATGGCAATTAGATGGCACAGATCATGTGAAGTTGAGGCATTGGTGTATGAGTGATGGGCACCATTGGTTATAATCATTGTGCAACCTTTAGGACACATGATCAGAGGGCGATAGATATTGATCTGGTGCAGATTCAGGGAATTTTAAGGGAGGATGCTGAAATGATGTGCAGAGGTTGCAGCTTGGCTCCATACAGAGAACTGCCATAATGGTAACTATGTATGTCATCATTACCTTCCTTAAGTTTAACTGCAACTATATTTTTTTCACAGGAGTTGCAAGAATTAAGGCATGCCTATGGTAAAGTGAGAAAGCAACTTCAGGAGAAGGTATCATTAGTTAGCATTTTGAGTTTTCAAAAGGGTATTGTTTCTTAAAGAATTGTAGTACCTCACAGGTAGGATATGGGGGTCATGGTGGCCTTGCAGTCAACATCCTGGTCATAGATAGAGAAGTCTAGTTTCAACCCATGCTAGGTCATTGCGTGAAGCATTTTCTTTTGTACAAAGCTGCAGTCTTTCTGCTATTGGCAAGCATCCCATCTAGTAGTGGATGCACTCCAAGTTGCTTCAGTTGGTGCTATAGAAATAGCAGATAAACATCAGGACCCAATTTTTTCAAAGGGTGGATCAAGCTATCCAACATACAAATTCCTATTCAGTAGACAATTATTATCAAAAATTATTATATGGCTGTGTCTCACAAAGACTGGGAACTACCAAATTCACAAATTTGATTGGCTGAAATCAATATTGAAAGCGGTCTAGATTTTCCCATCTAGACCGGCATCTAGACTGGTCTAGAAAAAAAAGGTACAAAGAATATAAAAAATTGGCATACAAGACACAGCCATATAAGACACAGCCATATAATAAACATCGGTCTGTACTGTTGACCTCGGTCAAGATTCTCCCATACAGACCTCCTGCTCGGTTAATAAGAACTAAGTACTGCACAATCTACCAGCTAGATAAATACAATCTATCCAGTGAATAGTGTCAACCATCCTTTCAACACCAGGAGCTTAGCCATGAAGTTAACTCTCAACACTTGGAAGACCTACATGTGAAGTCTTATGTCCTAAAAAATTATTCTGTTGTTTATGGTTAAGGCTGAGGAGCTTAGTCATACCAAAAAACGAGTGGAACAGCATGAGAATGAAGTCAGAAAACTGAGGACGAGGGTGGAAGAGTTGAAAGTTGATTTGACAAAAGCTGAAGATGAGGTAGAAATTTAAGGAATATCAAGCTAATTTTATTGCTTGTGAGGGAAAGGGCCAAATACAAATTACTAAATAACAATTAATTTTTGGATCGAGCAGTCTAAATCATGTACCTATATGATTACCTTCATGACAATATTTCTTTCTAAAATTGGGGAGTCTTAATTTAAACAAAGGAAGTAGTTACATAGGGCTGACATGGGAGCTTGGTGAAAGATCACAAACCAAAACCAGTAAATTGCTAAATTCACCCGGTGCATAACTGCAGGGGTTTCAGTAAAAGCTGGCCACTGGCAATCTGCCACCACCTAAATGATTTCTTGCCACCTCCTGTTCAGCCTGCAAGTTGGCTCTCATGTTTGGGTTTTACCTTACAGCCCCTTTTCCAGGCACAGCTGCCTATCACACCGGGAAGCCGCTTACCTACATAAAAAGTCACTGAAATCTCTTAACAACTGATATGAACATCAAAAAGCAATTTTTCATGCATCAATCTGGTAAATTATTTATCTGATGGGAATTGGTGATTAATTGTCTTAATTTAATTCTTTCATCCAGGTTGACTGTCAAACAAGTAACATGAAAAAACTACAGCGAAATCTGGACGAACAAACAGAGCTTGCTGACAGTTACAAAGTTCAATTGGAACACTTAAACTCAAGGTATTTTACAAATGTTTGGGGTTGTAATTTGTTGTGACTACTGCCTCCTATGGGAGGCAAAGCCACACATGTTGTTCTTCTCTCCCATCGGTTTATGGCTTTTCAGCCAAGCATTAAAAGTCCAATCATTGTTTTTAGACAGATATGCCATTTTGGGTAAGAAGTTAATATTTCCCCAACTTAAGGCAAACTTTCACAATGACTACATGGCTAATGTTTTGTGTACATCAGGTTGAAAGTTGGAGGAATAGCTCCAAGTATCAATCCAAGATATAAACCCGGACAGAGGTCTTCAACCCAGCTGTCATCAGATGAAAGTGAGGAGGAACCATCCTTTCATTAAAGCAGCAAGATGATGGATGCTTCTTCTAATACAAATACCAGTGTTTCAGTGTGGAGAGAAAGATACAAGGATGCAAAGTCATTAGAGATATGGGGTGTCAGATGGCCAAAATGTTCACCTGTGGTTCAACTAGTCTCTATGACATGTATGTGAGCAATAAATTACCAACAGTGGTAATCTGTTCTCAGAAAACTGCACTTTTATGAAGAAATTTTATTTTGTGGAGGGATAAAGAGCTGTAGCTGTAAAGTAAGGTATGCTTTGTTTATACAGAGAGTGAGCAAAGCATGATGAATGTTTAGTTTACTGCAAATGCAAGGGACAAAAAGCTTTTCATAGTTGCAGAGAAGCGTTTCAGGTGCTCATAGTTCCTGTTTTACACCCTCCATTTTTCCTTGTAATGAATTGTTAGTCAGCCATTATGAATAAAGTTCTCTTTTTGTGGCAAGGTATAGTTTGCTTACTGCCACTGACTTAAAGCTGTTGCAGTTTTCCTAGTTTCTTTTGCTTGTGGCAAATAGGTCCCCCATGCTTCAGTGCTGATGGTATTGCTGGCACAGGATAAAAAATGTTTGGCAAACTGTGGTTGGACTTTTTTCATTTGAACAGCAGCAGCCTGTGTTCAAGAAGTGTTAGAAAATTTAAGTAAGGGTATTTACTTGGCTTAGCATATGGGATGAGCCCTCTTATAGGGGAATCCTTGTTTACAATATTTGCCTCATTAGCATAAGCAATTTAGTTTCTGATGGAGCTAAAAATAAATCAGTTCTGAATATCGAAAGCTCAAAGTACGATTAACTCGGCCAATGAATACGAGCCTGATGGATTGAATACTTTTTGTGCTACACAGGTTTAAAAACTCAAAATTTTACGTAGAATGTATGAGCTCATTAGCGCTTTTGCCACCCATAAATCTTGCAGTTTTTGATGGACTATTTCTCCTTGAATATTACACCCAAAGAGCTAAAAATTTCACCACTACTAAGGTTTTCTAGCTCTTTAGCTGCATGAAGTAAATTTGTATCTAGCATGCTTCCTTCTTTACGCTAAGCCGTATGCGAATGAGCAAAAATGTAAACGATGACGTCAGCATGAATCCGCCTATACTTCAAAGCGCTCTGCCACCTCTGGGCCAGGTGAATACCTCTCGCCTCCTCTAACTTTCCAAATTGACCTTTTAATTTGCTTTATGGTGACTTACAGATAGCTCTTGAGTCTGTTGTAAGCAGGAAGAAGTTGTATTATTTAAAGATTCTCATGCTACAGCTAGTTTATGTTAAATGCAACCTCAACAGTTTTTGGATCTCTCCTTAAACCACTTGGTGCACATGGTTCGCAGAAGAGATTTAGGCTGCACTCACACTTGGTGCTCAAGCATTAGTGTTAGGGCACTGGCACAATATGGTGCTGTGTTCAGACACTGGGTACCCAATATATCAGTGCCCAGTGCAGTCCCCAAGTAGAAGGCCGTGACCATGTACTGTGTACAGTATTATTTTGTATATGTGTTTTAATTAATAGTAGGTCCAAATCAGCTGTTTAGCTGCCACTACTGACCTGCTCTAACAAAGAAAGCTTACTTATTTACCTTGTGATCGGTCACGGTCACGGTGCCCGAATTCTGGCGTGGGTACTTGAAAAAATGGTGTGTTCAATGTGGTGCTCATCAAGAATCGTACTCACGTGTGAGCGCAGTCTTAGTATTACAGCCAGCGAGGGCGCAGGAACCTCAGCATGGCATCGGTCGACGTACGGAAGGCTTATGATTCGGTAGATCATAAATGGCTCAAAGAAATGTTCGCACTGCATCGCTTCCCAACTTGGATTGGAAACCTCATAGCTAGACTTTGTGGAAGGTGGAACACTAAGATCACGGCGGTAACGAAGCAGGGAGTTGAGACTTCCGATCGAATAGCTTTCAGGAAGGGTCTTCCCCAAGGTGACGCATTATGCCCTCGGCTGTTCACTTTGTGCCTTAACCCGATAGCCTGGAAATTAAAAGCTAGTGAGGGTTACCGTCTTTCTAAACCAATCAGTGCAAAGATCACCGACTTGCTGTATATTGATGACCTCAAGATTTACGCGCAGCATCAGAAGCGAAGTGAGAGAGGATTATGAAGGGAGTAAGGAATGCCATGGAAGATGTTGGCTTACAGTGGAATGAGCGCAAGTGTGCAGTGGTACACGTGAAGCGGGGGAGGCTCCAGGAGCCGGAGGAGAACGGGATTGGCGGATTGGCGTAGGCGAAGCCATCACAAGTCTAAGGGACGCACAGTACAAGTTTCTGGGAGTGTTAGAGAACGTTAAACAACAAGACGGGAGAAAGAGTATCTGAAGCGGCTCTCAGTAGTATGGTCAAGTCCCCTATCTGACCACTACAAGGTCTTAGCAACCAATCAGTTTGCGCTCCCTGTCATGAGCTATTTCATGTGGATCCAAGTGTGGCCAATCGCCGACCTTCAAAGAATTGACCGGGAGACACGAAAAATTATGGTAGAGAATGGTGCGAGACATCCCTTGGCATCCACAGACCAGCTTTACATCCCTAGGAGTTCAGGCGGACGAGGACTCAAGTCGGTAGAATCTGAGTATAAGTTAATTAAGATCAAGGCCGCGGTTAAACTGTGTGCAAATACAGACCCAACATTAAAGCTGGTTCGAGAGTTTGAAGAGAGGGCTGTCTATAAGGGGCGACGTTCTATGCTGAAGGACGCGAGCGGTTTCGCAAGGGAACTTGAGATTGAGCTCGAACTAGAGCACCCAGAGCGAGTTGGCCGGACAGAGGAAGGGGAC